CGATACTCAAATATTCACTACAACCCTCTACATAAAACCAATTCACAGTCAATGCATTACACCATGGGACAGCCACGGGTCAATATCCTCTAAACGAGTCATAGTAACTGGGGAAATAAACAGGGCTATTAATTGTTCAACTGATTCCACAACACAAAAGAAGTCACTTAATCTCATTACGGAGTTATTCACTGCCAATGGATATCCCAAAACATTCATTAAATCCATAATTAGAAGAACGATTCATAAAAACAGACAACGGCATAACAAGAAAGATAACGAACCGGAGGAATTAGAGCAACAGCAATTTACCTATGTAAAGCTACCATTTATCAACGAAGAATTTAAACGACAGGCTATATAGGGGTAGTAAAGCGATCACGAATACCGAATATAAGATTTACATTTTACCAACGGTCCCCCCCTTTCTAAAGTTTTTGCTCCACCAAAGACTAAACAGAACTGCCAGGGCGAATGTGAAACGTGTAAGTTGTCTTCTAAACCGAACCTTTGCCTTAAGAAGAATGTAGTTTACAAAATCGAATGTTCAATATGTGGAATTGTTTACATTGGGGAGACCGGGCGAACAATTGGATCACGGATCAAAGAACACTTGACAATGGAAAAGCAGACGGTTTATAAACATTTGGAATCCCACAAGAAATCAAAGTTACCTACAATAAAGTGGAAGATTTTACATGCTAATATAGTGAACGACGGGGAGAGGAAATACGTGGAAGCATTTGAAATACAAAAACATTCTGGAGACTTGATGAACGGTTGTATTGGTAGAACAATTAGTGTTTGAACTATAATTTTAATCAATTAACATTGTATAGTACTTTAAACTACGGGACAATAAATCAGTTGCATGTTTGAATTATTTTAATCTATTAACATTATATAGTATTTTAAACTACAGGACAATAAATCCATTGCATGTTTTGCATATTTTTATAACATTAGCATACTCATTGTAAATTTAGTATTTTAATTAGTTTTATATAAATAGGAGGAAATATTATTGTAAAAAACATTCCACTGAAGAAGCCGTAAAAGGCGAAACGTTTGGAAAATATACTTTGTGTATTTTTATGTCTGAAGAAATCCCAAAGCCAAGTTCATACACTATCCAGACATGGTACCTCACACCCATATATATATATATATATATATATATATATATATATATATATATATATATATATATATATATATATATATATATATATATATATATATATATATAAACATATTAAAAGGTACGGTGGCCCCTATGTGCAATACACAAAAGTAAATATTAGTGCACAAACAAGAGTTGAAATCCACAAACAAAATATTTAATACACAATTCGAAGTGTAGGTTTACGTAAATACGTTTCAGTGCACGATAAATTCGGTAAATACACAGCAACATATCTCACAACATCTGAATAAATTTCGTTCGAAACGTGAACAGGAAAACTCGATACGCAAATATATTTTATTCTCAATACACAACAAAATGTTGCATCTGCGAACATTATGGATCATGTAGGAACATTTTGCTAACACCCCTGTCTGACCCTGTTATACCCATTTTGCGATTGTAAAAATGTGCAACAACGAAAATTCGCAGAGTTCTGTTCGTCAGTTTGTGGTTTGTTTTGCACTAAAAATTGAGGTATATTTTGGAAAAATGGATCAAGTTCCACCAGAAATTCCCACATGTGAGGAACTTATACAACGTTACTTCAAGAGAGGGTTCAACTATCAGAAAATTCTTTCATTTTTATCGAAATACCATGAAATTGAAATGTCTCTAAGGACATTGCATACGAAACTTCGTGACCTAGGTCTTAAAAGGAAAAACATTATTTACAATATCGATCACGTCCGCCGTCGTATACAGCAAGAACTGGACGGTCTTGGTTGCTTTGGTGGGTACCGTGCTGTCTGGCACACATTAAAAATGGAAGGTATTCATGTGCCAAGAGAAGTTGTTTGTCTAGTCCTGAAGGAACCTGACCCTGAAGGTGTGTCAGAAAGAAGATCTAAGACCCTTCGTCGTTGTGTTTATCACACACCAGGCCCTAACCATTCATGGCATGTCGATGGATACGATAAACTAGAACCTTATGATTTTCCTGTGCATGGATGCATAGATGGTTACAGTCGCAAAGTGCTGTGGTTAAAGGTTTGTAGGACACACAATGATCCAGCCATCACTGAACAACACTTTCTAAATGCTGTTAGAGAATATGGGGGATGTCCAACTATACTACGAACTGACAATGGTACAGAAAATGTTATTATGGCTGCTATGCAGTCATACTTTCGATGCAATGGGGACGATGAATATGCTGGTGAAATAGCACACAGATATGGTACATCACCATCAAATCAACGCATTGAATGTTGGTGGTCATATTTACGTAAAAACCGCTCAAATTGGTGGATTAACTTTTTAAAAGATCTTGTAGAAGCAGGTCATCTTAGTTTATCCAATCAGCTACAGAAAGAGTGCTTGTGGTATTGTTTCCATCAACTTCTACAAAGAAGATCTATCTTCAGTTCAGCTGCACTGGAATTCTCATTACATTCGAAAGTCAAGATTTGATACTATTTCCGGGAGACCAGACGAGTTATACTTTCTTCCCGACTGCTCAGGTGGTAGAAATTACATAAAATCTGTCACAGATGAACAATTTGATGATATGTCTCAGTATTGCCATGAATATAATGAAGACAATTTGTATAAAGAATACTTTGGTGAGATTTTCGAGCAACTTCATTTAGGTGAACCAACGAATTGGAGAGAATGTTTGGATCTATATAACAGGTTATGCGAAATTGCAGAAGGCTAGGCTACTTGCCATAAATACAGTTTACTTGTCATTGGAAACCTCTACCCCTGGGAAACATAGAGCATAACCATTAGCTGTTCGCCCTGAAAGGTTTTAATACGGTACCCTCGAATATTTAAGTCTATTAATTTAAATATATTTTATAATGAAACTTAATCACTCTGATTACACCCATAGGTGGGGCATTTTCTGGCATCTGGATCTACAAAGGTCCAGTCCCCATGTTTCCCTGGGTGAGGATGGGGATCAAATGACAAGTTGAAAGCTGGTTCTCTTAACAAACTTAACAAAAAACAAAACTTTTTAATAACAACTTATACAATGATTAAATAATGCATATAAGTATTTCACCTGAAACTTAATGTTCAATTATAGTGCCAATAACATATTATTGTATGAACTGTTCAATTTCCTAATTATTAGTTTTAGAATTTGCTGAAAATGCCTCCATTCATTAATGCTGTAAGGTGGTCATGTGATAAGTCACCATTTGTTGTTTTATCATTAACATACAAATATAATGCATTGGAGCAGGTTTGTGCACTAGGAATAGACTTTCCCTCATCACGAACAAAGGTTATCATTGGTTTCGGATCAAAACCAATAGATGATGTGTTGGCTGCCCCAGTTGCAAACAGTAGCATATGGCTTGGTGTCAACAAAGGAATGATGCTTTTCTCTTGTTCGGTTAATTTCAAATCACTGTCTTCTAAGCACTCCCGTAAAGTACCATCTGAAATAGAAAACAATATGCATGAATTTCCACTGTTAAAAGTCTCATAGTCATGTATTGTAAGTTAGTATTTAAAAATATTTACCTTCAATTGATTTTAAAAAGGCAATTAATTTTGCCATCACTACTTCTTCTTTAACTCTTCGCTGGTTCCCTTGCGGTGAAAAAGCAGGCTTTAATGTTTTTATCACCTGTTCAGCATTCACTTTGCCGCCTATCTTGCAAGAAAATGGATGATGAGCCATCCCCTTATATATTGCTTCTGATAAAATCTAATACCTGTGAAGAAATAGTTGTCATCTCAAATTATACAGTCAGCATAGGTGTAAAAGAGGGGGGCTCCTAATTTTGACCCAACCAGGCAATTTTTAGAACCAATAGTAATAGAACCAGTTGGGCAATATTTAGCTCACCATCGGACAAAATAATTGGGTGGGGTCACATCAGGCAAAAATCGGCTGCCCCCCTAAAAATTTGTTATCCATACACCTATGTGTGCCAATTAGTTAATCAGACGTTTTTTAGGGGTGCACCGGAACTAATTTTTTAAGTTCTGGCCGGCACCGGCCAGAACTGAAAAGTTTCGGCTGGAACCGGAACTGATTTATTACTCGCTGGGGCACCCTGTGCCCCGGGCGAGTATAGGTTTCGGCTTCATTTAGTGGATCGGCAATCTCCAATCGTCGTTGATAGCCACAAAATAGAATATTAATGAGCTGCCTAATTTTCCCCCCAATTATCCATAAGAGTCCTGCTAATTTTACCCAAATTATCCATAAATAACCCTGCATTTTGAGGAAAATTCGGGAAAATTGAACAATTTTACAAGGAATTTCGCACGGAAACAACAACCTTCGCAAATCGCAAGTTTATTTAATATTGTTTATACGTTTGGCTGCGTTGCTTAATATATTTTGAGAAGAAAGCGACACCGTTCGATTCAGTGTAAGAAATTGTACTCACGGATGTCAAATGTATTACTAAACAGCAGTATTCTAGCGATTTATGGCCTTTGAAAATCAAGCGAAATTGGTCAAATTGTATGTTGACAAATCGCTCGCCGTACGTATTGTTATTAACACATTACTCGCACTACCTTTGTCCTTGTATTTGTAATGCCTCATGGCGCAATAACGATAAAAATATCACCGTTCGATTCTGGGTAAGAAATTATACTATAAAACAATAGTATTCTAGCGATATATGGTCTTTGTCTTTGAAAGACAAGCGAAATTGTATTGTTAACAAATCGCTCATACGGATGTCAAATGTATTACTAACAAGACGCTCTATGGAGCGTTAACTCGCTGGGGCTATACAATGGACGCACATTACTGTTAAGATCTAAATGCATATTTCCACTGTTGCGTTTTTCGTACGCACGTACACGCACGAAAAATTTTGAATCCTTTTATTTTTAAATATTTTACAAATAAGTTAACAAATGCATACTAAAACTTGCGGAACAGTAAATTCTGTTGCTTTATTTATTTGGTTATTTTATAAGTAAACGGAATCCGCTTCCGGAAACCGCGTTTTATCCTCATTTGCGAAATCCGCTCCGGAATCCGCTTCCGCAATCCGCGTTTTATCCCAATCCAACAAAACTTCCGGCGTTTATGCCCACAAGTAAAGTTATATTTTATAGTAAGATAGTATGCTACATATTTCTTCTGTCGGCCGCCAGTTTAAAACGTTCAAAATAAAATATTTGGGGGCTTTTGGGCTCAAAATATTATCAAAATGAAGAGAGAAGTGAGACGAATCCACTGGTATACGGCCGACAAAGAGAAAACCAATGATGCCAAAGTTATCAAGGATCAAACGTATTGCATTTTTTATAATTTGAGCGATTTCTCAACAAATAATACACTTCGCTTGGCTTGCAAATACAAAGGCCATAAATCGCTAGAATACTGTTGTCAGTTGTTTAGTAATACAGTTGACATCCGTAAGTACAATTTCTCATTCGTAAATACAACTTCTTATGCTGAATCGAACGGTGGTATTTTTATCCTTATTGCGCCATTTATAGGCAATACAAATACAAGGTCGCACCATGGATTGTAAAATAACAATGTCAACAATACAATTTCGCTTGATTTTCAAAGGCCATAAATCGCTAGAATACTGGTGTTTAGTAACAGATTTGGCATCCGTAAGTACAATTTCTTACGCTGAATCGAACGGTGGTATTTTTATCCTTGTTGCGCCATTAATAGGCATTACAAATACAATATCATATTTCACACTGAGTACACTTGAACACTACAGTTTTTATGGACTGTTGTTCGATAATTTTTATATTGACATGACACCAATATGCTTCTCATAAAGTAGTTATTTATTAAAACTACGTTGTGCAGTTTAAGTTATAACCATTTACCTTGAAATTGTCTTTGGCTCGTTTATATTCAGATTCAGTATATTATGCCTGGTCGTGCACGGGAATTCAACGAACCAAATTTCGAATTTTCAGAGTCGTGCACCAAGAAATACGCATTAAATAAACTAGCAAGAATGTCCAGAGTTAGGCACAATGCAAAATGCATAGGAAACAGGTACAATTGGTTCAACATTTTCATGAAATTGTTTGAAACATTTTGCCCGCTGAGGCCCCAGTCCACGAAACACGAAAGGCCTCGTCATTTTGAAAAGGATCAAGCAGCTCATTAATATTCTATTTTGTGGCTATCGACAATTGGAGATTGGAGATTGGACATTGGAGATTGCCGATCCAAGAACAGAGCCGAAACCTATACTCGTCTGGGCACAGGGTGCCCCAGCGAGTAATTAAACAACAGTATTTTAATTAGCGATTTATGGCTTTGTCTTTGAAAGCCAAGCGAAATTGTATTGTTGATATCATTGGTTTTCTCTTTTTCGGCCGTATACCAGTGGATTCGTCTTACTTCTCTCTTCATTTTGATAGTATTTTGAGCCAAAAAGCCCCCAAATATTTTATTTTGAACGTTTTAAAGCGCAGTTTAATCCTAGCGTACGAACCAACTGACGGCTGACAGTCTTGAAGAATGTAGCGTACTAAATATACAGTAACTTTACTTGTAGCGCCTACCGCATTTTAGTACTGTGTTAAGCCTTTTGCGCTCGTATTCGACTTTTCCGCTTAGTAATGTGCGTATTTGTATGACTTGTATAGCCCCAGCGAGTTAACGCTCTGCAGAGCGTCTTGTTAAGCCATATATTGTCATATATTGTTACTTTCTCTGATGCCAAACATTAGAATAAAAATATTGACAAACATTAAACGTCATAATGAAATGTTAATGGTGCATATTTTCCTTGTGTACTCCAAATTTCTTCCTACTGTGAACTTTCGTTAGACACAAAAACGTTTGATATTCTATCTTTCTGAAAACAACAGAGTTCCAGTTCCGGCCATGCTTTTTTTATTAACTCTGAAAAATCGGGTGCACCCTAACGCTTTTGGGGGACATACTGTAGTTATTACACAAATAGTAGGGTAAGTAGTATGAAAATATCAAACCCCATAATATGAAAGGCCTTGGATAAATTAATCCAGCATAGATTTACATCTAATGATGACATAGTACTTGGTGATTTCATTAACCAACATGTGTCTTTCATTGAGATTGATCTTTAAAGGTAATCCATCTATATCTACTTTCCACTCGCATTCAGTCCAACATTTGTTGACATCAAGCTGGGTGTTTGCTTCTTCCAACTAAAATTTACAATGAATGTATACAATAGTAGGCCCTAGGGTAGTGTAGTGTTTTTCAATGGTCTTGAAAACAACAGAGTTCCAGTTCCGGCCATGCTTTTTTTATTAACTCTGAAAAATCGGGTGCACCCTAACGCTTTTGGGGGACATACTGTAGTTATTACACAAATAGTACGGTAAGTAGTATGAAAATATCAAACCCCATAATATGAAAGGCCTTGGATAAATTAATCCAGCATAGATTTACATCTAATGATGACATAGTACTTGGTGATTTCATTAACCAACATGTGTCTTTCATTGAGATTGATCTTTAAAGGTAATCCATCTATATCTACTTTCCACTCGCATTCAGTCCAACATTTGTTGACATCAAGCTGGGTGTTTGCTTCTTCCAACTAAAATTTACAATGAATGTATACAATAGTAGGCCCTAGGGTAGTGTAGTGTTTTTCAATGGTCTTGAAAAAATATATATATATATATATATATATATATATATATATATATATATATATATATATATATATATATATATATATATATATATATATATATATATGAAGACCTAACCAGGAACAACTGTGAGAAATTCAGCACAAGGTCCTCTCAATTCCTACCAGAGGACCTTGTGCTGCATTTTTCGCAGTTATTCCTGGTTAGGTTCTAAAATGTAATATATATTCACTTGGATTACAAACCCTAAAAACAGAATTCTAGTATTACCAAGTGAAGTGCAGAAACCACTAACCAGATCATTGTGTTGTAATTACCACTACTCATTGCTTTTGCTTACCTTCTTTAAAGACTTTTGTACAATTATGTCTGCTACCTCATCTATTTGGGGAAATGCATTGTCAATTCCACCCTGAATGTACTGGCATAAACTGTGGCTGAAAATACGGGGTAACTCTCCTCCTTGAACAATCATTGCTGCGAGCATTTTTCCCACCTCTGAGAATGCACTACTTTGTAGGGCTTTAAAATTGGGCCTGATAATGTGTCCTTCTGAAGTATCTACAAATGTATGAAAAATATTTATGATTATGTGTAATCTGTGTATTGTATATACAGCAACAGTGAACAAGTACCATGGCAATACAGTTTTAATATTATTTTTCAACCAACTAACTTGGTATGTTGATTTCAAAACTAAGGTGTAGAATCTGCAGATTCTAATAAACATGTGAATGCTGGCTGCAATTTCAAGTTTCAACTGTATAATGCAGATTATAAATAGTCATAAACAACAACTAACAGTTGCCTCCTATGGACTATCATAGTAGTAAAGATAAATTCTAATGAACATACTGAATAAAGTCCCACTTTCTTTAGACATCGCTCCAAGAAGTAGTGGCAAAATTCCCGACGAGAACCACCATTGTCACCTGCATCTTCTTGCCCTTCAAATGCAGCAAAGGTTACCCGTAAAAAACCATTTCTTTGCAGAAATCTCTGTCGTAAGAAATACGGTTTTGCTGTTTCCCAGATACTTAATTTGCTCACCACAACACTTCGTGGATCTCCTTTAACCATTTTATTGGCATGATCTTTAATGACAACACTCTCATCTTGCAGGTCATTTGGATCATCATTTTTCACTTCTTCCTCCTCTGTATTCCCAAGTTGTTGAATGCTTTCATCTATTGCCTGTTTCACAGCACTATCCTCATCCAAGCCAATAGATCTAAAATGATATGGAAATGAGAGATATAAATTAATTTATAACAGAGGATATTTGAGGAAAGCCCCCACCCCTCTCAAATAAGCTCCCTGCAAATGTATCTGAAAAGCAACTCCCAGATTGATTGCAAACAAATGTATCAGTCAAATCCCAGCATGCCCGTCCCCCCCCCGGGCTTGTTCCAATTTTTTGAAATATACGACAAATTCCCAGGGCTGGGGATAAAAACCATGTTAGCAAATCCCCTACCCCGGAAATAATTGGATTGTATTTTAGAAAAATTTATCGCCTATTAATCCACCATTGTGTGTCAACTCTAGCCCAGTCCAGCGTTTCCACTTTCAAGGTACAGGACTATTCTACTATAGCTCTTGCCAAGCCCTTCTTTATATTTTCTCAGCGTGAATTCCTCTGAGCTGCCAGGTATCTGTTCGCCAATTTTCCATCTTGAAACGTTACGACGTATCCACGATCTCTGGAAAAAGTTCTGTCGTAATCCTCCCACTTTTTCAACGCTCTCTCTCTCTTACCTCGTCATAACCCATATCTTTTGACAATTTCACAGGAAATGACTTGCCACGATCCCTAATGTTCGCAGATGCAACATTTTGTTGTGTATTGAGAATAAAATATATTTGCGTATCGAGTTTTGCTGTTCAAATTATAAGAATCAAATTATGTGTTGCTATAGTAATAATGTGGCCCAAGCGATAGCAATCAGCATGACACTTTCCACTGGAAATGGATTTATTAACATTTCCATCGATTTTTCTAAAATTTGGTAGGGGTAAAGGAAATATCTATTGGGAGATTATATCAAAACATTAATCGCAGTTATAAATTGAACTTTTGAAATATCACACCAAATTTGTTTCCCAAATCTGCTTTATAGAATTTTAAAAATATTATATTGAACTAAATATCTAGTATTAATAAAAAAGAAACATTTCGGAAAAATTAACGGAAAGGAAAAACAAGATACTGTACTTATGAAACCTTGTGTGGCGAGATGAAATTTTTGCTGACGCGATCTTGTTTCAATTTTACATGCATGATCACTTTGTGAGCATGCACGCCAATCGGTGCGTGAAACACGCGCGGAAACAACAGGAAATCATTCAAAATATATTTTAAAAATATGCACGCTATGCGTACATGCATATATGCAAAGCATTGAATTTGCTCAGAGTATTAAATTTGCATTGTTGCTATGAAAAAAACTGCATTTGTAGTTGTTTATATTAATCTTATTCGTCATGATTCATTTCACAAAGAATGATCATAATTAATGGAAAAACTTTTAGATTACAGTCTATTTATTAAATAAACTATTCAGTGTTCAAAAAGTTGAAGTAAAATAATAATCCGGCATTAGACAAAGTAATGACCAGTGAACGGGTAGTAACTGTTCAATTCTGAGGAATATATGGGGGTTGGATCTTTGCATTAAATTTTAGCAAAGTATAAATTACAAATATAATATCAAAAACTATTTTTCAAGTTTGAGTTCAAATGTTGTTACTTTCCACCATATTAGTTAACACCACAATCCATTCCTGTTCAAAACCCTTGACACATTTATACACAGTTTTCGGTGTTGGGTATAACTTTCCCCACAATAACAACTATATTTCTACTCCCGTAGCCCATACAATGTTGTCCTTAGTGCAACTGCCTTGCACGTAGTCACTCAACATTCTTTCACCTCGGGAAACGTCAAGTATAGACCAGTAAAGCACAGCCAGTGTCTTATAAAAGACTGATTAATATACGATTGATCACTGTGGAAATATAATGTCGAAATATATACGATTGATCACTGTGGAAATATAATTTTATCACTATACCATGACTGCATAATGAACAATATAAATTAAAAATAAAACTTTTTTGTACAACATATTGCAACTCTTGGCAGCTTTGACATGCGTTGCAATCCTTGCAGCCGTGCATTTTTGTACTCTGTGTAAGTTTTGGTCTATTGCACGTGCGCTTTGGGTTTTTTCAAATTCCATTCGTCAAAATCCTAATCATATCGTAATCGTAGCTCAAGGCCTGCATGCCTCCAACATTTGGGCTCCACTTGATTTATAATATTAACCATATATTACTACATATTTAATTTTTAATTTAGTCTGCAGATCGCGACAAGAGCCGCCAAGGACAGCCCAGCCAGGACGTCGCGTCGAATTCAACAACAATGGACGCAAGGCATAGTCGCCCTGATCATCACGCTGCACACGGGGATCACGAGGTAAAGAATCGAGTTTAAGGTGGCTCCTTACAGCTGTCGAGAAATTGCATAAAAAATAAAGTCTGCACAATGACGCGAAATAATTTTCTATTTATGCAAAATTAGGAAAGTATCAACGGAAAGTATAAACGCTTGTGCAATCTTTATACTTGAAGTACATTTGATCAAAAGAAACAAATTATGTGTTGGTATGACGGGATTCCGTTTAAATTACACTTATTGATTTAATATGAAATATCAATTTTAAAAGAACATTATTAACACGATATTGAACGTAAACCCGTATAAAGACACCGTAGAAAACTGGGAAACAACATACGTACAGTTTGAATTTCAAAATATATGTTGGATATAACTTGAAATAAAATACTGAATATTTTACCTGTTCTAGGCCCGTTTTTTTAATTTCATCACTACCATGAATGTATAATCAACAATATAAATTAAAAATAAAACTTTTTGCTACAACATGCATATTGCCAGCTTTAATTGGCATGCGTTGCAATCTTTCCAGCCGTGTATTTTTTACTTTGTATACGTTTTGGTACGTAATCGTACCTGAATGCCTGCACGCCTTCAATTTTCGAGCTCGAATTAACTTATAATATTAACCATATATTACTACATATTTAATTTAGTCTGCGGATCGAGGCAAGAGCCGCCAAGGGCCGCCCAGCCAGGACATCGCGTCGAATTCAGCAACAATGAACGCAATGGATAGTCGCCCTGATCATCACGCTGCACACGGGAATCACGAGGTAAAGAATCGAGATTAAGGTGGCTCCTTGCATGCAGCTGTTGAGAAATGGCATAAAAAATAGAGTCTTCACAACTGCCCGAAATAATTTGCTATTTATGAAAAATATAGAAAGTTAAACGGAAAGCATAAACGCTTCTGCAATCTTTATGCTTCAAGTACATTCGTTCAAATAAGTCAAATTATGTGTTGCTATAGTAACAATGTGGCCCAAGCGATAGCAGTCAAACATTAAATTTTGCACTGAAGATGAACTGATTAAAATTTCTATTGGTTTTTCTAAAATTGAGTAAGAGTAAAGGAAATATCTAGCGCGAGATTATATCAAAAAATTATGGGCGGAGTTATAAATTGAACTTTTGAGATATCACAAAAAATTGTTCCACGAAAACTGCTGGATAAATGTTTTAAAAATTGAGAATATTGAACTAAATGCCTGAACTTTTATATAATGCTTGAACTGAACTTTTATACTGGATTTTTGGTTATCTCATTGGGCAGAATGTTGCTAAACATAAAGAAGGATGACTTGGTAAGTGTAATATCATATTTGATGGCTGTTATTTGCATTATTATGTAAATATGCACTTGTATCTGACTCATGAGTGAGCATTTAAAACTGCCATTTACATCATTTTTAAAATAAATATCAAAAGTGACTGCTCTCGTCTTCTGAATGATGGCCAGCTTGTTCACAGCTCGTTAATATAGGTACATGCATGCAAAACTTTAATTAAAGCATTTTGCATTTTTAAGGAAGAATATAAGTATTTTAAAATATAAATCCCATCCATGTATATGCAATCCAATAAAAATTTAAACAACTCATATAGTTGCAAAATTTTTTATTATATCAGGAATGGATGTAATTTGATTTGGTTGGATGGGTTACTGAACAAGAGCTGGTCATAAATTAGGGCCTAACCATCAACTGAGCCAGGATGCATCATAATTATAAGGGCGCCGAACGCCTGTTCAAGGAGCCAAGGATGTCAACAGGAAGTTGCCTAGATGGTTATAAAGGCCCAATACTTCATGTTTTTGTTGGTTAATTGCCTCAAAATAGCCCCCCCCCCCCCAATAATCTTAAGTAAATCCATCCCTCTATTAAACAAAAAAAACCCGCGCTTCTTTTTCAAGTTTTTCTTTACAGCTCTGATATTTTTTATAGGTATCTGTCATATTACTATGATTCCAACCTTGAAGATATGTTGTTTGTGTGATGTTACTCAGAGTGTATACCCACACCGGGCAGGCTCGGACTGGAATCGAACCTACGACCTTTGCAATACTAGCCCAATGCTCTTCCAACTAAGCTACGCGGTCAGGTCGGTTCGAGTATGCGATGTTTCGGAACTGAGTCTAGTTCCTTCGATATCATTCATTCGTTGGTATGAAATAGGTAATTGGACAAGTACTGGTGTAAGACATTGTGTAGCCTAAATAATGAGGACCAGTAATTCAATTGGTTATCCTTTATTTATTTACTCCGACTCCTGTGATGGTGAACATGTACGCAAAAAACAAGGGAAATTACGATTAGATAGTAACTGAATATGTGAATTTTATGTGACACGATGAGGGCGAGGATATATAAGACCGAGAGATTGAATTGGAATAGAAAAGGCAACCCTGTACGCGTTTCAACCTAACAGTCTTCTTCAGCAGGGTTTTTTTAAGTGGGTGTAGATAGAGTTTGCAGAGTGAAACTAGAATGCACGAGAGTTTAGGAGCACTGAACATATGTGAAACCAGAGAAAACAAATTATTACGAAGTTATAATGAATTATGCAATACAAAAATGAAGGTTGAAAGAAAGTGAAAAAGATGAAATTACTGAATATGTTATTAGTAAAATTATTCTACCAAAGGTCTTGTTGTTGCGGGACATTCCAACAGAACGTATTTTATTGTTCATCTTTAACTATATTTTTTTCGAGCGAAGTAATTTGCTAGTACTTTACGGTAAAACTGACTGAACGGTATAGTGAGTTTGAATGCTTATGATGGAAGGGGTGGAGTAGGATTTATTCAGTAGTGTGATCATGTGACTGCAGGTGATTGCATCCAAATATGGTGCCAGTGGCTTGATTGACAGGGATAGGGGCGTGAGGCAATTATTGAATTGTGAGGAAATTAATGATAACAACGTGCAGGGTTTGATATTATATAAAAATTATGTATTGATTAAACAAAAATATGAATAAACAATAACTGAATTATGTACAAATATACAACAAAACCCAAAACAAAGATGGTAAATGAATAATAGGATATGGCCATTGTTAGTTCACAACAGCTCCGGTGTTGATCTTTCCACGCAGAGGATAAGAGTTATTATAGTATAGTCATCCACCGTATATGAGCTGTTCTGCAATCTGATTGGTTGAATTACTCGCCGTATATCAGCTCATATACGGCGAGTAGCGAAAAACAAGATGGCGGTCCAAAAACTACATGAGTTTTGCGAGGCAGAAAAAGGAAAATATTCGCTTTGAAAAACATAATAGTACACGGAAAAACTCTCAAAAAAATTTGACAGGTCAGCAAAATACATTTATTACGTAGAAATTAGTTTAAATACAAGTTTTTTAAAAAATTAATACCGAAACAACAGCGAAAAAAACATGTTCATTGAGAATATAAATTGTTCAGAAAAGTTTGCAACGAAAGACAAATTAATTTGCAGTCAATAACACTTACTGTAGTACCAAACACCTGTATAATATATCTGAGCTTTTTTGTGAGATATGCCGGTTCGATCTAAAATTTCTTTCACTTCGTCTTCGAGTTGTAAAACAAAAGTATTTCAAATTTTCAAGGCGGTTTTTGGCCGAACAGATTGTCAACACATTGTAACAGTGAATAATTAATTACTGTTTCAGTTAATGGCTATATTAGACTATATTATAAAACAATTATACCATTCGCTCTCGTCGTATATGGCTGATAGCCGACTTGGTGCTACGCACCTCGTCGGCTATCAGCTCATATACGACTCGAGCTCATGGTATAATTTTTAAATATTTGTATATTGTTATTTTAGCATATAGAACATAAAGAAAGCTCTTTGGACTAAAACAAGTAACAAAGATAATGTATAAACCACAATGAGTTTAAAAATATCATGGAATGTCATGCGCTGACAATTACTGAATAAACCTCGTAAAACGCGCTAATCAGCATGCAATACTTTGCTTGAACATGTATAAAGGACCCAGAACTGGGTAAAGGAATTATTAAAACTCTTGCTAATGACCGTCCAAACATATATTAGGTATGTCCAAGGACATCAAACTATATCTTTATTGTCAACTGTAGGCGTATGGTGAGGTGGACCAACTTGCATGATTTCTGAGTCTATTCGAGTGGTTTCATGAAGGTGTTATAGTAGAAAATGCTGTGCACAGTAGATGCCGAGGATTGTTATGATTAAAATTGACTGTGGACGTCAATGTTAATCTATTTCAAGTGCCAATCAGGACGATTAAATCTTTTAAGTGAGTACGCAACATGTCCTTTCTCTGGTCATTGACAGATGCTATTGTCATTATTGTTCAAAACGTGAGGTTTCTGTTGCAAAAACACGGCCAAAATATCCAGAACTGCCATGACCAATGACGGAACTCCAACCAACGTATCTCATCATATCGAATCCGCTGTCAGATGTGGTGTTAGTTCTGCGGTTAATTTTGTTAGTGTTAATTATTTGAGAGCTTGGAATGCACTATGTGATCCTTAATGTTATGGTTGCGTTTGTAGGAAACCAAAGGGGGTTCGGGCCATAAAAGCTTTAGTGATGGGTCTTGGTCAATATGATGCCAGTATTTACGCAAGATATATCCTATATGAGTGGTATTAGTGTTATAAGGTACTGAGAACGTTATTATGGGTTTATTACTATTAGATTCATTAGTTGGACACTGGTTAGTAGAATTATCATCAATCCGAACAATTTTATTCATATTTTCCTGATTTTCGTCAATTAATAGATTGGACTGAGTGTATTGTAGAGCTTTATTAAATGCATTATCAATTATATTGTTAGTATAGCCCCTAGTAATTAAATTAACGCGTAGGTCTTGAAGGCGTTCACTAAATCTATTATACGGTTAGTAATTAGCCGTACGTATCTAAGGGCTTGGCTATATATAATGCTAATTTTGCAGTTATTAGGGTGAAAGGATTCATTATGTAACAGTAGAGCTTTATCTGTATGTTTAATAAAAAGGTCAGATTCCAGTTGTTTAAGGTTGTTAATGTAAATATTAGTATCAAGAAAATGGCCTCTTTCATAGGAGTACTCAATTTCAAATTTAATAGTGGGATGGAAGTTGTTAATATAGTGAAGGAACTCCTTTAGTTTATCAATTCCATGTGTCCATATTTCAAAGATGTCATCGATGAATCTCATCCACTCAAGTGGAATCAATCCACCAGGGGCATCCTTTAACATGTTGTGTTCTAATTGACCCATGAAAAGAGGGCGCCATCGGAGAACCCATGGCAGTACCTTGGGTCTGGAGATAACACTTATTATTGAATTCAAAATAGTTGTTATGAAGTACAAGTGTTAATATTTCCTGTAGAAAATCAGTGTTAGCTTCGCTATTAAATCTTTGAAGGTATTCAATTGATGCGGCGATACCTTCATCATGTGGGATGTTAGTGTACAGAGATCTAACATCTATTGTTAGAAGAATAATGTCATTTGGGAAGATTATGGCTAAGTTTGAATATACGTCTAAGGAAGTCTGTTGAATCTTTAACAGATGAGGGGATATTGCTAACTAAGGGTTTGAGAAAATGGTCCGCATACTTCAATAATCTGACAGTGGGGCCATCACATCCAGAGATGATAGGTCTACCCGGGTTGCCAGCTTTATGAATTTTAGATAGTAGATAAATGGTGGGAGTTTTAGTTGGTGTGGGGGGCAATAGGAATTTAAATGTAGTGTAATCAAATTGACCCAATTTGTGGTTATTATAAACAAATTGTCGTATTCTAGTTATTAGTTCAGGGATGTGATCCGTTGAAATATGATAATAATGGGTGGTGTTAGCAAGTTGTTTAGAGGCCTCATGTATGTAGTCATCTCTTGGCCAGATGACAATGACCCCACCTTTGTCTGCTGGTTTAACAATCAAGTTGTCGTTTTTACGCAAATTGTTTAATGCAGATATTTGTTCTCTGGAATAGTTTTTATGCATGTTAGTAGGGGTACAAGAGTGCGAGTGTATCTCCTGATAAACTAGGGAAATAAATTCCAGGAGGTTTTCATTGTCAGGAAGCGGAGGTGCAAAGTCACTTTTTAATTTGAACGGATGGGAGGATGTTTGTGTGATGTTACTCTGTAGTTCAGGCATATTTTTCAAGCCTGCCCGGTGTGGATATACACTCAGAGTAACATCACACAAACATCTTATTCACCTGAGTACATTACACCAACACAGCAGATTGCTTGAAGATATGATTATCTGACAACATAGACATTATTCTGATGACAGATATCTGTACAGTGTGGAGCAATTTGTACATTCTATAAACTGTTTTTCTACTATTTACACAAAAATTGACTGTATCATAATTAACAATGTGCGATTTAATAAATATAAATTTTAATCTTGTTTCATTTCTTGTTTTCTTCAATAGCCTTATTATAATATATATGCGGGTATTTTTTAATGAAAGCTGGGCTTGGCTGATTAGCATAACAACAGGCCTGATAAGTGGCATATTACTGTGTAGCTTTGCACAAGACCTCACTCTTTTTTTTCTGTGTTGGTGTTGTGTACTCAGGTGAATAATATGTTTGCGATGTTACTCTGAGTGCATAGCGATGTTACTCAAGCTTGCCCGGTGTGGATATGCACTCAGAGTAACATCGCAAACAGATTAAACCTCTGTTGCCACGATAAGCATTTTCCTATATAAATACACTAACCAGGGTGGTCCTGCTTTAGGGCGTCAGTAATTAGTTTTACACCAGCACAAACCTAGTATTATTAGTTCTAGGTTCTTAGCCAATGAGAAAACGAGAAGAGAATAGCCTACAATGAATAATACTAAAACTAATCACTAGATTGCACTACTTACATAACTGCAATAAAAATAACAAAAGAAAATGCATTGCCCATCAAAGGCTATTTGTATATGTTGCATAGTTGGTTTTTCAAAGATAAATCTTCTATTACTGTTGTTATGATAACAACGATTTCACATGTACAACGTGATGTTAAGGCATTTGTTGGACAGCTCTTTCATATCATTAATAGAGGTTACTTTTGAATTTTCTGAAGTACAAACACAATATTTTTTCGAAACACAAAATTGTAAGTTTTGGGTGCGTAATATTTTTTTGAGATTTAAATAATGAGCACAGCAATTTTTTGTCCATTTTGTAATTGTAAACATGATAATCATCGTAATATTCTTTCTTGATGGTTCTTGAAATTTAATTTTTTTTTCACTATTACGATCAATCGATGCTAGGTTATATATATATATATATATATATATATATATATATATATATATATATATATATATATATATATATATATATATATATATATATATATATATATATATATATAACCTAGCATCGATTGATCGTAATAGTGAAAAAAAAATTAAATTTCAGGAACCATATCTCGAACGAATCAAGCTGTTTTGTAGCGAAAATAACAAGCCATTATTAGCCATATCAATTCTGGAAAAAACACTTGAAATTTTAACATAAAAAGAATTGCGAGGACTATTGCGTCCAATTTCCTTCAAAAACAGCAATTATAACCTTAAATATGGGTACTGAATCATTATTAATTTTAATGAATTCCGACGTGCACTATCCGAGGAAATCATAGAGATAGTACTAAGTTTTCCGAACAAGTCTTGCGCTAGTGATATGGTTAAGGACTGCATAGATGATTTGTTACCAGCTATCTCTAATATGGTTAATTCTTCCCTTGAGGATGCTTATTCCCCGACATCTGGAAAGAAGCATTATTGAAACCTAAGCTTAAAAAATCGAGCATGGACTTGATAAAAAAGAACTATCCTCCTGTGAGCAACGTTGCTTTTCTGTCTAATGTGACTGAAAGAATTGCTGCAGCTAAGAAAATGTGCGGTTACCTATCCATCAATAATTTGTTTCCTGACCATTTGTTTCCTATCCATCAATAATTTGTTTCCATCCATCAATATTCTCATAAACATGAATAAACAACATGTCACTCTGTTAGTGTTCCTAGACCTCAGTGCTGCATTTGATACAGTGCAGCATGACATATTGTTACGACATCTTAAATATAAGTTTGGGATTTGTAATAATGCGCTTGCGTGGTTTCGATCATATTTGGTGAACAGATCCCATCGTGTAGTCATAGAAAACATAATGTCGGACAGTTTTGATATGAAGTATGGTGTGCCTCAAGGGTCTTGTTTAGGTCCATTGTTGTTTATCCTGTACACAAGCAAACTGTTCGATGTCATCCACCATCATTTGCCCACCGTGCATTGGTTTGCTGACGACACGGAGTTATATCTCGCATTTAACCCAAGTAGCAATAATGCTCAGGATGCTGCCATTTCAGCTATGGAGAATTGCCTGCGAGACATCCGGAATTGGATGATTACTGATAGGTTGATAAAGTAACGAACATTACTATTGGTGAATCTGTGATTTCATCTGAAGAACCTATCAGGAACTTGGGTGCCTGGTTTGACCGTACCTTCAACTTGAATCACCATATTAATAAGATCTGTACAAGTGCTTTTTTATCATCTGCATAATATAAGAAGAATTCCCAAGTATTTAAGCTGAGAATCAACAGAGAAACTTGTTCATGCCTTTGTCACCAGTCACCTAGATCAGTGGCGGCGCCAGGGGGGGGGCAAGGTGGGGGGATTCCTCCCAATTGTTTTTGCACCCTCCCCCATTTTGCCCCCCCCCCCTCAAAAAATTATTAGTTACTAAAAGCGACTAAAGGCTACACAAGCGTTTTGTCGTTATCGGAAAATGTATGGCTTGTAAGTTGTGATTACTCATTAGTGAATGCGCGTATACATGAAACTGTTTTTTACAGTTTCAATATTATTATAATTACACTTAGCCTACGTTTAAGGCAATTCATGGAACTGCCCCTGGTTATATAACTGAACTTATAACTTTTAAAACAAACTCTTTTTACAGCCTAAGATCAAATAAGACATTGTCTACTCTTGGAGACAGAGCCTTTATGGCTGCTGCACCAAAACTATGAAATGTATTGCCACTGAATCTTAGGAGTATCCCTGATTTTAATACTTTTAAGCAAGATCTTAAGACATACCTTTTTAAAAAGGCTTTCTGTTAGCTCAGCTTTTAGACTTAAATTGTAATATTAGTTCTACGTATTTTAATTGTCCTATCCATTGTTGTAACGCGCATTTGAAAACTGCCTTCTTGAATTTGCGCAATATAAATTAATAAATGTTATGTTGTTATGTAAGTGCAAATTAAATCTTACTACTGTAGGAATAATGGTTAAAGAGAAATATGAGATTACTACAAAATTTTTGTGTTTTTGAAATGTGTGTAAAAATAGACATGTTATATATATATATAAACATGTTAATGAAAAACTTCCAATATTTACGTAACCATAGATTGACCAGCCATTAATATTCATTAATTTATACTTACAATACCCAAATGTATATTAATATAAAATTTTCTGAAATTTACACATGATTTTATCAGTGACATTTTATCATGATTTTATCGTATAATATAAATATGGCGTCACGGTTTAATATCGCTCTCGCACTATTTCTGATTTTATGGCTTTCTCAAAACGTATTGCTGCTAAATAGTTATCATGGAGTTTCAGATGTTGGATATACAACTTTTCAATCGTTTGATGGCGTGCCGTTCACATTATTTTCGGGATTTCTACATCAATTTTGCTTGGCATTGCCAGACTAGAAATTCAATAAGGCGTATCGGGATGCAGTCGAAGTTCAACATCAATTTCCCTGTTTACAAGGCTGGAAAGCATGGTCAAACCACCCTGGCTCTTCCTGACAGGGTGTATAAAATCGATTTGACTGTTTATTTGGACATAGAGAAAAATCCTGGACCAGAAATGGATGTGTTGGCTTATTCATCTAACTTGCCTCCCAAGAATGTTAATCTACGCGCTATACATGAAGGATCAATTAACTATTTAATGTCAAATCAGTTACTAGGGTTCCAACCTTTTTACCAGCTACAAAGACCGTGTTTTGGTGATGTAAGGCATTCTCAAGATGATTTCGAAGCTTATGGGGTAGGTAGGCGTGTTTCATCTGTTTACGAAATACAGAGAATTCCATCAGTAAACATTACTAGAAGAAGGCAATGCATATTTCAACATAGAAATAATGTTGGTGCTAATTTAAATAATCTTGTAAACATTACGCCCACGAAGAATTGTCCTAAAACTGAAACCTCAAATTTGCTGCACCTCGCTATGCTGAATGCCCGTTCCTTAAACAACAAGGCCATGTTTATAAAGGACTACGTTGTAGAACACCGTGTAGATTGTTTGGCAGTAACAGAAACTTGGTTAAACTCGAACAATGTGTATTTGATTAATGAACTCTGTCCTCGCGGGTATGCATTTATGCATATTCCACGAAGTATAGGCTATGGGGGCGGTGTTGGCTTATTGTATAAAAAGAATTACAAGACAGAAAAACAAAATGTTGCCCAATATTCATCATTCGAGTATATGGAAACTTTAATTAGATCGCCTAGTACAGTTCTGAGGATCGGTATAGTTTATCGACCCCCTCCTTCTGCAGAAAATGGACAAACAGTTAACATGTTTTTCGATGAATTTTCTGACTTACTTGAACGATTGGCTGTATCCAGCGGCAAACTCGTATTGCTAGGAGATTTTAACTTTCACGTTGACGATCTCACAAACCCTCAGGCTGCAAGATTCCTTGATTTACTGGACTGCTACAATTTAAAGCAGCATATAACTGGTGCAACTCATAAAGCAAATCACACCTTGGATCTTGTGACTACTAGGTCATGTGAGGATATGATCCACAGCTGGTCATCCATGGACCCTCAATTATCTGATCATAAAGTTATCCATACAAAATTACATCTTATTAAACCACGTCTACCAAGGCAAGAGAGACAATACCGCAAACTTCGCAGTGTAGACCCAGCAGTTTTTCGAAATGATGTAATTAAATGCGCACTATTCACCTCGGAAGCGTGTAATGTGGTAGATTTATGTGACCAATATGACAGTGAATTGCTCAAGGTTGTCGATTCCCATGCACCTTTAAAAACATGCATAGTAAGTTCACGACCGTCTGCACCATGGTATACTGAGGACATTTCTAAGGAGAAATGCAAGCGTCGTCAACTTGAAAGACGTTGGCGTAAGTCTGGATTAGATATGGATAAACAGCAGTATTATGATCAGTGCAAACGGGTAAGGGATATCATCAAGTCGTCAAAAATGAATTATTACT